CACGTGAAGTGCAACAGATGCAATAATTAAGTCACCATAACAATGGAGAGAAGAGGGACAGTTGACAGAATTTGTCAACCACATCCATCGAGGAGATCCATTTAAAACCGTTTGACGCAAAAGTTAAAGTCTCATTGAGGCATGGTAGAAATCAGAGAACTTCTACTTTCGGTCTAAACTTAGGAGTACAATGGATTTAGACTATGAGTTGTGTTTAGAAAAATAAAAGTTGACTATTTTTTCGACTCTAACAGACCCGAAATTACCAACACCCTAGCAGGGGGAAAGAAGCCCATTTTCACGGTGGTGAAACGCCAACCTGTTAGCATAAAACAAGGATAAAACTTATGCGAGGATTGCAACCATGAAAGTGAGAAGCTCCAAGATAATGCAACAGGTGAATGCAGATCCGCCAGTTGTGGTGACTGCCTGTGTAGTGGTGACTACCCAGCTAGAGTCAGGTCTGACAGTCGTGGGGGTTGTAGAGGCCAAATCAACTTCGCTTTCTGCAGTAGCATCACTCCTCAGAATTGGCGGTCCAACTGTAGCGACTAAGGGATTTGAAGGTGATGCGACGACTGCAGGAGTTGGGGTAGCTGATTTGGAGGCAGGTGAAAGTTCTTCCAGCGTAATTGTTGCTGAAGATGGCAACGGTGTGGTCAGCATTGGCGCCAGGACAGATGACTCATTTGTAATGCTTGTGAGAGCTGTAGGACAACCACTCGAGGCAGCGATTTCAGGAGCCTGTGTGGCTTTACTTGTCGTTGTTTGTAGAGATTCTACGACCTGACTAAATGTCCGTACGTCCTTCTCTTCTATCCAAACAAATAAATCGTCTCATGACATTGTGATGATGAGCTACGCATTCCTCATCAGTTTGAAGACCTTATTATAGATACATCCAGTAATGAAAATAAAATTCTACAAAAATAAAATCGTATTGGGCAATCTTGGACAGTGAGACTAACGTTCTTTCAGAAGCGATGTTACTGTTGTTTTCACAATGTCACTGCGGGGACAAAGGTGTTCAAAATGGTTTGAGCCTTTAGGTCGATTGTGAGAACGAACAGAGGCAGAAATTTTTTGACCTGGCCGCAAGTTTGTGAAGGTGTAGAATCGGTCCAAGGAGAGGTGATTGATGTTTAGCTGCCCATCATCAATGGCCCATTGGACAGTGTAGCCAGTGATGGGGCCGCAGGGTTTGATCGGTGGGTCCCATGTCAGGTTCACTGTGCGAGGATTGATGATCTCAAGCTTCACGTTTTGGGGGTAAACAAGACCTACACAACCAGAAACAACTTCAGTTTCCATTAATGGGGGAAAGGAAAAAAGTTGTCCAAGTTCCTATTTGATGGCGCGGAGGTAGGATTGCATGTACCGCCTTAAGTGCCACACTGTATCAATCGGGACGCTGATTATCGCCGCTGGTAGGAGTTAAGGCCTCATACTTCCAGGACTTTTGACTCGTCCTAGTCGGCAATCAGCGAGATCTCTGAGTCACCTATAATCCTTCATTACTCCACCAGTAATGCGTGGCTGAGCCAGCAATAGTAGTAATATGGTCGTCCTAGAAACCGGCCTGCGATATTTCCCTTTCCTCTTTGCCTTTGACAGCCCAGCAAGGTGGTCCACCAAAAGACTGCTTTTCTAAAGCAGTTGAATTTTTACCTTAACCAAGCAAAGAAGTCGGAGAGTTTCGACCTTCTGTGGGTGTGACATTTGGCTAGAAAATTTAAACGTTCATGTCATACTAACATCTCATGTTGTTGTTGATTGTCTGGACTAAGGAAAGCAGGCACCAGTTCTGGTCACATGGAGGAGGCACAAATGAAAAAGGCGGTGCGTAGACTTTGGAAATCCGCAGTCCCACTCTCCATGGAGGCACTGCAATTGTTAAGGTGAAGTGTGAAGCAGAGAGGTGAGGATTAAAGTCCAAGCCTTCGTGCAAATGCGCATTTGAACGGGATGTGGAGTGATGTAATGCTCTGCAAATGACAGAGAGCTGCTAACTCAAATTCAAAAGACGTTATTTTAATCGAATGTTCAGAAATCGTAGCACTTTAGTGCAAAAAAGAAAGAATTAGAAATTGACTCTAATTGGGTGGTAGATTCTGCACATGGGCCGCGTTAAGCAACATCTTAAAAGGTTTCTCACCTATAGATGATAAGTAGGCTTCGGTTGAGGTGCCTGTTGCCAAGAGAACGAGGCAGAGTTGAAGAGACATTCGCGCTCCCTAAAACGATCACACCTGCTAAGTGAGTACAGTGTACGTGTCGGTGTGTTATGACAATGAGGCCGCCTTTGGTTGACAAATGGCATTGCGTGACATTGAATAAGATGACCGACTGATGTTTGCATTTATGTTGTGACATCGGAAAATAAGTGTGGAGTGGAGGCGATGCCAACTCAGACAGGCCGATAGTGGAGATAGGTGCATTTGAAGCTGGCGAATTGTCCTACAAACATCTGAACTAGTCTCTACTTCTCTGAAATGCTCCCATCAAATACATAACTACTCGCCTTGAAACCACACTCACGTACCGACATCATCTGCTGCTCATTATGGAGGTGCAGAGTATACACAGGGGCACGGATCCACAGGGTGAACGCCTGTGCCTCGTCCGATTTCTCCTTCCATTGCCTTGCCGCTATTTGATGTGGTACAAAGTGACATTTCTTGCTGGATTGCGGTAAAACATTGCGCCTGCCACCATGGTGATGTAGTCATGTCAAGTGGGGTACTCGCAGTCACTAGATGACCTGCTCCGTGATTGCAACCGCCACCATGTCAAAGAATCTACACATGTTTCATCAAGACGGTCAGCTAGCATCCTCAACTTCTGCTAAGTGGACTTGAATGCAACAATGCAGCAAGATTGCATGAACAAATCACATTAACTGGACTATAATGCGGTCTACGAGGTTGCAGAGATTATCGTCAGTCGTAGCACAAACATTCCACCAAGTGGTCACAAATTATTAGAAGGCGTGAAGACGAGGGAAAGAGACGTGAAGAGGGAAGTAAAGCGACTTTTGCGCCTGCCTGTCACAAGTGTTGAAATACGACAACCTCGACCCAAGTAGAAATCGCATTTTCCAGAGGCAGTGGAGTCACCTTTCAACTCGCGTTGCAGTTGGTGGGCACGAATTGTCGGTAATGCGAAAACTCATCGCCGACTCCACGTGAACGCGTGATATTGAATGGCGGGGTTCACAACTGCTCCGTTGCATGCCACTGAGTAAGAGATGGGTAGAAGTGGTCGTTTAATCAGTGGTGATCGGAAAGTGGGAGGTGCCAGTGAGTAATATGGGGCGAGGATCTCTCGAGTGTGGAAATGCATTTGGAAATGTCATGCGTCAAACCATCGTGCAGCCTAAATGCTCCCAAATAGGATTCTAGATAAATGCATTTTGGACACGTCATCCACTTTGGAACGTGTCATCTGATACAGCTGCCATGGCAATGAAAAGATAAGAGTAGAAGAGGCTCCTGACGAGGAAGACGACACGTGATGAAGTAAACGAAAATTTGGAAGGAGATTATTGAGCAGATTTGTGTACATCTGACAAGCTGGCGTCATTTTGGGAGGACTGGTGATTGTGGTTCGGAAGTTAAAGAACTAGTTGCGAAGATGATAGTGAGCACCATCGGAGTGGAAGTGGGTGAAGGCCGGGGGCGAAAAAGAGAGACCGTCTGCGACACATTTATGATGCGGAGAAAAGGCACATATTTCGAACAGGAGATACCCTCTTGACTGCGTTCGGCTCCACCCTGTTTTCGTCTTCCACAGCCAACCTATCAACCATTGAGGTGTCACAGTTGTGTTTCATCTGGAAACGTTTCCTATCCCATTTCTCCATACTACCTCCACATATAGGCGTCGGAAATAATACTACTCCTCAACTCCTCGCTTACGAGACTGCGTTTGATCCCGTCCTACCTGTTAAGCATATGTTTAAATGTCCATTCCCGAATGCACTTGATGGTCAACAGATGTATGCGGCTCTAAACCGTGCTGTTGGTCGGATCGCAACATGAGATCCAGTTGAAGCTGTTGGCGGTTTCAGGTGCAATTTCTCAGTCTTACGGGCGTCGCGGGTGGCTCGTGGGTGCCTTCTTGCATTAGTGAATATGTTGTGATGGTTGGCGTGGGAGATGTGACGAGACGAGTGTCGAGAAAGGCGTTGCAAAGAAGAGAGGGGCAATGCGATACTTTGTTTGTGT